TCACTGTACAAATTATATATAAAGCAATAAACAACCCACTTCCTGACAATATTCTCAAATCGTTTTCTAAAAGGGAAGAGGGACACAGTTAGAGGGGGGGAGATAAATGTAAAACATCCCTGTATTCATACAACACTAAAAGGCTTTTGCATCTCTGTGTGTGGAATAAAGCTGTGGAACAGACTGAGTGAAGAACTGAAGCATGACTCAGTTTAAACAGACGTTCAAAACTATGGTTTTTGCAAAGTGCAGGAAGGAGGAACGGCTCTGATCAGGTGTTCTCCCCCATTAGTTTCACAACAGCGATGTGTATGTATGTGTGTGTGGGTGCACAAGTATGTTTACACAAGTATATATATCTGTAAATGTAAAAGCCTTTTGACGTGTTACTACAGTTATAAAAGCAAATACATGTAACAAACTGTACGGAAGAATTTACAACAGACAGGGAGAAACGGTGTAGCCTATTAGTTACTACAGGGGGGAGAGGGGGTGGGATTAAATAAGCTTACACTTCTTCCAGCTGCTTTTTAAACATATTATTTATCATTTATAATTATTATTGTTTTGTTTTGCTTTGTTTGTTTGTCTCCTTTTTCTCTGTTGTTATACTATATTAACATGTTCAAAATAAAGAGACAACACAAATACAAATGCTGTTTCCTTAAAAATGTGGCATCACACATACAGCCTTTTAGAGTTATTAGATTAATTGCCAAGAAGCATTGTTACATCAAAGAACTGACTTAACGAACACAAATTTCCTTATTTGATTCCCAAGAAAAACAGGACTTAGTACTTGCTGATGGTTTTATAGGCCATTCAAGCCCGTGCAGGTCTACAACTGTGACATCCTTTATCAGCTATTTGGCCTTACTGTAGTCGATAGGTCCGAATGAAGGAACTGGTTCTGCAGACAGAAGTGCTTTATACAAATAATGAGTAGAGGTTAGCAGTCTCTGATTGATTGATTCATTGACTGATTAGGATCTGTGTGGTACATGGGCACACAGCCGATCTGTGGGCAGCAGTATTCTGGCTGCATTGGACAGGTTCACCACGAATTTCACTTAATGAAATCCAAATCAATTTATAGCGTTTGTTATGTGGTTCTCTGGATTTTATTAGAGACTGTTCATTTCTTTGGAACTGAGAAACATTACAAATTTATCAGGGGAGGGATTCGTTATGTTCCCACAATATGTCAGCACGGAGAGTGAAAAGTGAACTTTTCAAAGGGACAAACAGCTGCTGTCACCAGGTGGGCCACTCCACGGCTGTTTCTTCAGTGTATGACCTCAGCATACTTTGTGGACACGTGGTATATTTTCACAGCATGACTAAACAGTTACTTCAAAGACAGAGTGAAAATAGCATGTGTATGACTAAACACTGAGCACATACTTTCATACTAATAGATATAAATTCTATCCTGCTTTATCTTCTCATAGCAACATAAACGACACCACCTGTGTAATTACATTTAAAACACAAACCACATTTAATCGACTCCATCACATCTGTCCATGCCAGAGTGTCACACATCGTCACACACCACTCAGCCTTCATGATTCATGTCCATGTACCAATCATGACCTGTTGGACAGTCCTGCTGCTTTACACACCTGCTGTCGTAACCACCGCGGTCCCCATCGCTGTGCCACTGGCATGTGTGTGTGGAGTGACTTTTCCCGGTCGGTGCTCCTTATTGCAGATACAGCTGTGAGTGCATAACTGGCATGAGGCACAGGCTGAGTTGCAGCAGGGTAAGAAGCGACAGGCGCTAACTCGCCACATGAAGCAGCCAGGTGACCAGAAGCACCAGCAGAGCACTATGCCACCTGTCACCATGCCCATGATGATGTAGAGAACCAACAGGGACAAAGAGGCAGGAGAGTCTAGAGTTAAAACAAAGAATAGTTATTTGTATCGGAAATGACAGTCGTAATCAAATAAACACCAGCAGTGAAAGAATACATTCATTTATGTGTGTGGTGGGGAAGATCCATCTCACAGAAAAACAACAGTCAACAATACAGTAACACCCAACAGGGTCCATGCACTTGGAAATGTCCTGCCCATTGATCATCCATTCATAAAAACAGTGTCATGAATCTCAGGATGTGTTTTTGTGCCTTCGCCTCTCCCACCAGGGAAGAGCTGGACCTTGCTCCCCCACCTCTGCACCCACCTTCAACACACACCTGTTGCTCATTCATGCTAATCCTACTCTGGCTTCTCATTGTGAGTGATTACACTGGCAGGCGACTACTTCCTCGCTGGATCGTTGTACTGAACAGTGTCAGTGTAGCCCACCCACTTGAGCATCTTTTCCTCGAGATTTCTCAGAGTTTCTCCCTGACGTATTTTCCCTGTGTACAGGCTTCCCAGATCCCCTGCCTGTCTCCCCTGTCGCTTTGAACTCTGTGGATGTGTGTGAGTGACGGTGAGCGTTTTGGATCAGACTGCTTGAGTGAGTCACGGACGGAGTAAAGAAGAACTAATGTGGGTGCCTGCCTCAGACCTTTCCCTCACCCTTGGACTCCCTCGAGCCCTGTGTTTTCTTATCCCATTGTATATATTTATATATCTTCACCTGGTGCAATATCACAAATAAACCCTTCATCTTCTCCCTAAGCTTCTGAGTACTGCGATTGAGTCCTCTACCAAACAAACGGTGACAAAAAGTCCTAAACCACAGATTGCCTGACCATCCATCAGCACTTCAGAGCCTCTCTTTATGTTCCTGCTGCAGAGAGTTCCTTAAAAGTATATCTGAATATGAACAAAGGGCCAAAATATATTTAAAAAACCCTCCACTATTTCAACTGAATGCTCACTTTGACAATGATTATGTTGCTCTGTAGATATTTGCTATAACTTACTTCTCCACAATAAATTAAGCACATGAATGAAATTCTGACCACTGAAAGCAAGTAGTCTGCTCCTCTAGATAGAGCTCTGCAGCGATGGGCAAAGCGAGGCGCTAAAGTAAAAACCACCATCGCTTCTTGCGGATACCCCTTCGG